CCTTTTTTTACTAGAAGTCCTAGAAGACTAAAATCCTGGCTATAGAACAGTGGGTTGTAGCTGACAAGTGATGGAACCCAAAGCCTAGAGCTGGAGCATAAGCAGCCTAGGTCATCTACAAGAAGCATCTAGGAAGTCATGTGGCCTGGCGCAAGAGCACTGGACTAGGTGATGGCCAACGCTGTGCAAATACATCTCTCAGGGCCTGTATCTCCTCAGTCGCAATAATGAAAGGATTGGTCAAGCAAGATTATTGTGTAACTGAGAACACGAAACAAACCTCAGAGTCCTGTACCCTCCTCTGAAAGAACTGCTCAGTGGGCCAAGGATCCTTATTATTCAGTCACTCCATCAAGCAGGCAGTTCAGGAAGCACAGGAGGAAGTTAGAGAAGAGACAGAAGTGCCTCAGAGAACCAGAACAAACACAGGAGATGAAAACTTTGGCGTATGTAAAAAGCAACATTAAATCATATACAAGCCAGGCGTGGTGGATCACAGCTGTAATCCCAGCACTTTGGGAAACAGAGGTGGAAAGATTGCTTGAACCCAGGAGTTCAAGACCAGCCTGGGCAGTATAGAGTGACCTCAAGATTTCATCTCTGCAAAAAATAAAAAATAAATAAGCCAGGTATGGTAGCGTGTGCCTAAAATCCCAACTACTAAGGAGGCTGACACAGGAGGATCGCTTGAGCCCAGGAGTTGGAGGCTACCGTGAGCTGTGATTGTGCTACTGCACTCCAGCCTGGGCAACAAGTGTGAGGCCTTGACTCAAAAAAAAAAAATTATGGGGCCCAACAAAGCAAGGAAATAGGACCAAAAAATCTCAATCAGATCATAAAGGATAATATTGGGGTTCCATAAGGAATGACCCTTAACTCAAGGGGAGGAACAGTGAGCTCAGATGTACAGAACACATTCAATCAGGATCTACCAGTGAGAAGTGTATCATCAGATCATCTTCAGGAGTAAGGTTCACTCTTCAAAATGAAAAGCCATATTCATAAACTGAAAGCAAATAGATTCATCTGGTTGACTTTTTCTAAACAGAACATAAATTGAGGAAATCACACCCACATCTGGAGAGAGAACTCATTATTATTATTTATTTTATTTTTTGTTTTTTTGAGTCAGAGTTTCACTCTGTCATGCAGGCTGGAATGCAATGGCATGATAATGGTTTACCGCAGCCTTGACTTCCTGGGCTTGTAAGATCCTTCCTCCTCAGCCTACTGAGTAAGCTGGGGCTACAGGCATGCACCACCATGCACACCAGGTTTATTTTTCTTATTTCTTTGTAGAGACATGGTCTCACTTTTTTTTTTTCAGTTGGAGTCTCACTCTGTTGCCCAGACTGGAGTGCAGTGGCCACTCCCGGCCACCGCAACCTCGACCTGCTGGGCTCCGGATATCCTTCCGCCTCAGCCTTCCAAGTACCCGGAATTACAGGCATGCGCTACCACGCCCGGCTGATTTTTTGATTTATTGTAAACATG